AGCCACTAGGGGAACATTCTGAGCTTATGATTGGTTATTCATGTCATATATAGAAGTGTATATAAGGGAGCATTTCCAAAAATGGAAAGAGGTGGGCTGGGTGCCACTGTGTTTGACTTATTATATGAGCAATAACTCAGCAAACTGAAAAGATAAGAGGCTCTTATTTTATATTCTAGCTTGTCAATATCAGTAATTTGAGTTTATAATTTGTTCAAAACTACAGACTTAGTATTTTGACTTCACAAACATCTAATTTGAACCAGTGTTGCATTCAACATGCCACATGGCACACAAAAATTGGTTTATCTGTTTTTTTTAATATTTGCTTTTAAATAAAATAAACAGTACTAAAATTTGAATTATAATCTACAGTTTGATGCCAAACTTATTGACATAAATTCATGGAATAGTAGTTGAATAAAATTTTGAATGTAAGTCAACAAACGAGATGACATGGCCTTTCACCTGTGACCCGTCTCGCAAGTGTTAAGGTGTTCTAGTTAACCTGAACTCCCGGGTCATGTATGCATGAGCATTTGTTGGGAAGCATGAAATTTGACCCCCTGGACACCAAATATGCACTGCAAAACATCTCATATGCAAGACAAGCATAAGTACACTGCTTCAAACTTTGTATCATAGCAAACTAAACAGCATACTATTTGCACACAGCTGTACACAATCAAGACTGAAGCTGTGGATATGGAGGGCGAGTGCACTCATGACCTAGCTGAAGACATAACGAACAAAAGAATAGAGCTCAAAATTGGTATACAGTATCATTGTGGACAAGCTGATGGAAATGTCATGAGGATGGGGCTACTGGAATATGAAGAAAAGTACTTGAGACATGGACCATTTTCATTTAAAGGCTGAAGGAAAACAGACTAATTAGAGGAAGAAGCCCATACATCTAAAACTGAGGAATCATCAGAAGTGGTTCAGAGAAGAAGTAAGAAGAGGGAATGTCAGTGCCCAGTATTTATGGGGACAGTGACGAGATGGGAATAGTAACCCAGAGAGGGGCAAATGACTCTCTCTGTGGCATTTAAAACCAAGAGGTCTGACATTATGTCCTCAAGATGGTGGAGGTACTGAAGATTGGTAGATGGAGGAAAAACAATGGAGAAATGAGGGCATAAAAAAAGACAGTGGGTAAGAATCTGAATGACCCAATGGTCAGCCATGAAGCAAGTTTACAGTTAGCAAAGAAAAGAAGTGTCCCCAAAGGACTCAAGCTGAGTGAGTACAAAGAGAGGTAGTAACCAGCAGGATGGAGAAAGATTAACCCTCTAAGGAGGGATGACAAGAAGAGGTAAAGTGGTGGGAAAGGAGATGTGAGAGAGGACAATCGTACATGTGTCAAGGAACATGAGAGGATGCATAAGAACATGCAAGATGGGAGAGTAAAGAGATGAGAAAAAACTAATGGTAGGCAGCTTCCACTCAAGATTCAATGGTGAGAGGAACAACACTTCAAAACCTCATGACAAATGAGTAGAGCAAGGCACAAGCTACATAGGGAGGAATGAAGAAGGTGAAAGATAGAGAAAAAGGTGTCACTCTTAAAAGATCTTAATTACACAGAAACCATGTGATGAGAAAAAGCCAATGACAAAACTCTGGCCTAAGTAGAGAAAAAGATACTTCAGAAAACTATCTCGACTCTGGTGGAGGACCTCACATAGGAGATAAGTGAAGATAAGCCATGTTGGGCTTAAAAATGAAAAACACACAGGAAATAGAGGAACTTGTAAGGAAGGCAAAATCTATTAATGGTGAAAATTGTTGACAGCATCTTTCAAAAACAAACAATCTCCAACAGCCATTTAAATGTTAGTTGTGCGGAGTTTCAAGACACAACCTTGCATGGTGTCTCGAGTTCTGCAAACATTCTTAATATAGAAAATAACTAGTCTCATTCCAGATGAAATTTCAGCTTATAAACAATGGTAAAACCTTAGAAGGACAAAGCATCAGAAATGCGAATTAACAGGGTTGAAAAAAATGTGAAAGGTAGGCCTAACACAGCATGTAGTGTATCACTGTTCAGAAATGAACAAAAGTGAGAAATTTATTTATGTAAAAGAGGAAGTCTGTTTATTTGTTTACTTTGTTCGCTATAGGAAACCAAATGGTTGAACTTACAAATTTTAAAATAACTTCATAATAACCAGTTTTTTACAAGAAAAATAATTGTGCTATTTATTTTGTATTCGGTGTAGTATTTATTGATGAAATTGGCAATTAATGATTATTGCACCATTTTT